AAGCTCTCTTCATTGCGACAATTGCTCAGTGTCTTAATGACAGCATCAGCAGTCTTCTTGGCAGTGATGACATCCATCTGTTCTCCCTGTAGATATCTACTCAAATTATCAGTGTTTGATAAGATGAGCTTCAAAAACATCAAGCCATAAACAAACTCAAAGTCACAAATTGAGTGGAGAAGCGAATTACTTTCGTTGTAGGTCTTGGGATCGCGATCCTTTGATAAAGTGACCACCGCCCACCGACAGGACCATCTAGCGGTACTTTAAGATTTTAATGTAAGCGCAACATCCTCTTCATGAACTTCAATGTCCTTGAATAACGCATGGCACTTGGTACTCCCGTGTAAGAAATTGTAAAGACTCTGGATAGTACCGAGGGCATTACAGAGAGTTTCAATTTCAGTCATGGTGTCCTGAAGAGCCAAATTTAAAAGATGACCATAACAATGTACATATATTCCGAGAGGTTAACATTCCTTCATACGCGTAGCAAGACCCTTGCGAATCCCACTCATGTTCGCAGCGCCATCAAAGCATTCGGCAATACTGTTTTCCAACCTTAAATCCAGCCTATTTATGGCTATTCTTGCGAGTTTGTACAGAACTCCTCCCTCGGTAGAAGCAGTGGCAAAGAAACCAACGAAATTTCTTTTGTCTCACCATTGATAACGTACCTGAGGCACAAGGATACCTCTTCGGTTCTACTGACGTCTGAAGTTTCATCCATGATGATCCCAAAGTAACCACTCCTCCTTACTTCTGTCGTGATTCTCTCAAGCACAAGGTCTGACACTATTGCAAGTAGCTCATTTTGGATGGTGGGTGATGTCCACTGAGCATGCAACTGGAGCTACGCCTGGAGTTTTGACTGCAGCCATGGTAAGTCTTTGCATCGTAAATGAAGTAATTCAAGAAAGTTTCCTCTGTTTATATCTGAAACTTCCCAGATATCGTTTCGACTTTCTTCATGGCCTCTAACAGCAATATTTTGCATAGCAGTGAAAATCAAGCACTCGATTATCACTTGTAAATATTTCCTGTTAAATTTGACCTGCTCTTTATGTGCATTGCTTAGTTGCTACAGGACACTGCTATTCTTTGTTTCTATTGCTTTGAACTGCAGCCACCTAGTCATGCAACTTACATGATTCTCACTTTTGCCGTGTTTTGTTAACTTTGATGGCTTCTTCCAATTCTTGAAAACAAAAGATGCATCCTTTCCAAACTCTATGCAGGCTAAACATACACACACTTTTTCGACATCGTGACTAAGCCACGGATTCTTTTTTATACCAGTCAGGCTAGAATCGTCTAGTGAAAGACTCACTTCTGAACTTGGTGCCCGGATATTCGGGTAAAACAGGTTGTTTCGGTACCATTGTCGTCAACGTAGGTGATGTGGAGGACTCTGGCTCTAGTTCTGCAATCCCTCCGAGATCTGATTGAATGCCTTTATCTATCGGGGTACTGGGCTCGCGAGGTTCCTGGACGTCTCTCATTGACGCATCAGGCTTGAGTGAATCTTGGTCGATTGATTCAGGATCTTGGCTGGATATTTGCAGATTCGAATGTTGATGAAATAGTACGTTATTCACTCTCTGGACTACATCCAACAAGCGGTGCCTTCTGTGTCTGACCTGGAGACTCGACTTTTATTTCACTTTTCGGCCGCTGTGAACAATTCGGGAATGAGCTTCTACATAGTCGGAGTCGAATTCTTTCTCGCATTCTTCACATTTCACACGATATCGATATGATCTTTTACGAGACTTCGACAAAGACATACTTCAATCCACCAGATTACACGCACATGCACTCGAGAACTGACATAAATCAACATGGCCGTCAACTCATAACGCAGTTCCAATCCCAGCGCGGTCTTGATTATCACTCCCAGTCCGTCGGCAGAACTCATTGTTCTAACTCCGAGTAATAACAGCCATCCCGTGAAGTAGTACAGAGATCAGTTAGAAGATTAGGCGAGTTGCGGGACGAAAACAAATAAATCAAGATATTAAATAATAAAATATTTTTTACTGTGTCTTTGCCCGAACGGTACATCAGTTTTGCCCGAATAATACTAATTTTTTTCCGAGAGGGGGTGCTGCAGCCCCCCCAGTCCCCCCGCCCCGTACGCTGATGGCTTCCTCAAATCATACATGTCCGTTTTCCCGCTGAAAATAAAAAGAAATGGTCAAAGAAATGAGTTCAAAGTACACCATGGCTGAATAATTTTGTACAAATCTACAGACATATTCAATTGTTATTCTCACTCACGATTTTGTGCTTGTTGAGTTGGCCATTATCTGCGTTTAGCTAGTAAGAAGAGTAACTCACAAGTTAGGACGAATTTTAAGGCAAAAAAGAACAGGTAAATCGAACTTAAAAGTCACCTGTATATTAACAATGAAATCAAAAGTAAGATTTCGAAAAGTAGCATTTGTTAGAGGTCACAAAAATGACCAAAACAGAAAACTAACACTCACATTTTCACCACAACGGCAAACACCCGCTCTTCACGTCGCCGACTTCCCTGCGACAGCTGGGAAGCTGGCTAAATCATGCGCAGTAATGCATGAATCACGACTTAACTTCCGGTCTAAGTCGCTGTCTTAAGTTTTCCTGGCCACAGCCCAATTAGACGGGGTTCTGGCAATTTTACCTCACAAGCGCGCTGGTAAGCACATGGTTAGCGTAAATAATTGTCGTTTACAGTTTTCGAATTCAAGAGCAGTTTTTGAGAGTCTGTTTCTGTAACTTTCCTGGATATTTCCTGTTAAATTCATTGAGGTTCAGTCTCGGAATTTCATAAGCGATTATGAATGATAGATTCGTATCGGCACCATAATTTAGGGAAATTTTGTCAATACTTTAACAGTTTACAATTCGCGAACCATTTTTGTAACTTGTTTGGATATTCTCTTTTGAAGTCATGAAGTCACACCCTCGGAATTTCAATAGTAATTAAGAACAACAAATCCGTATATATAGCACAAGTGAAGCACATTTTAAACTTTCATACGATTGTAGGAAACTATACTTGATTAACTCTCGATAAATTGGCCTGACATAACTCGTTGATTATTTTATTATTTTGTTGCCCCAAAAGCCCGGCTTGTGACTCTGGAGGTACTGAACTTGATATATTTGATACACGAGGCACCCTTCAAGTAGGAAGGTTAGAATAAAATTGCTTTTATGACCATATATTGCACTTGGTTTACATAGGTAAATAATTACTTAAAAAATACCTATTATAGCTGTACTCAGAAGCATAGACATGTAGGCAATATGCTTCTGCTTTATTTTACTGTAAAGGGTTTCTTTTTATGTAACATGTATCCATTCCTTTAATTTCCTCCATTACCAGCATGCAAATAATTGAATTTTATGTTTTAATTCAAGATTAAAAAGAAGTCTTGCAGAGTTCTCATTCCAGATTGAATTCAGGTGAAAACATTAGTAAACAAACATATGCTTCTCCTGAATCTTTAATTTCATTGCTCTGGTTGTTTCCACAAACCCTATTTTATATCTCTGTGTGACAGCTAATGATTAAAACCTCAGTGAATAGATATGCCATATTTTAGTATTTTTTTAAATTCCATCTTTATGTTTTTGGCACCTACTTTCTTAAAAGTTTGGAGAATTTGGAATTGGATCAACCAATAATCCCCTAATTGATATTGTTCTTAATTCTTATTACATGTCTGCTTTATATCATACTAATAATGTAAGGAGAAATTCTTTCTAGGTCACCAGTGGGACTTGACCTTTAACTCCCAAGATCTCAGCAGTAATTCTCCTTACTATATCCCATACAGTTCTCGTGATGTTAGTTTGGAGGATTTAGTATTGGATCATCTTATAATCCCCTAGCTGATATTTTTCTTTATTCTCATAACTTGTCTGCTTGATATTGTTTTGATATTGCGAGGGGAAATTCTGTCTTGGTCACTTATGGGAGTTAAAGGGTTAAAATGGGGGACTTCATTATATTGTAATGATTAAAATATTCGTATGTTTTAAAATGTAACAAAAAAATGTGAGGAGAACCTGATGTTACGAAACACTTGCAATGGAAAAACCTGTTGCTGGTAGTTTATGTCTTTAATACTTAAATTTTCATGGGAAATGCTTTGAAAGTGGGGATAAAGACGTTTTTAGAGCTGATAGAAGTAAGCTGTTTGCAGGTAATAAAAGGCAAATTGACAATGATACCTTAAAGCTTGACATGCTTCACTCATACATGTCAGTTGTGTGTATAGGTGTCTTTAAAAAGGTTTTTTTTAACACAAGGCAACCTCCAGGGTGGAAGAGTAGAAGACCATAGAATGATGTTTACTTGGCATTTGTACCTAGTGCAATCATATATTCAAGCAGTACTTTACCTGATTACATGATGTCTTTAACCCTTTACATCCCAATATCAGAATGCATATTCTCCATACTGTGTGCTATATATTTCCTTATGTGCTGGCAAGGAGAATTTGTTTAACAATCAAGAGGTTCTTCAGTTGATTATCATTTCCTTTATTCTCATGACCCTAATGTGTGACTCAGGGGTGGTATTGAAAGGAGAAATTAGATGCTAATCACTCTCAGGGATTAAAGTGTTATTAACTGTACACATTTTCATGTATATGCTCCTCACATTTGTTAGCAACAATAGCTAAGATTGTTAGGAAAGCAAACAAACAAGTGAACAGAAGACAGTGAAATGAGGGAAACTGTAAACTTTACCATGTGATAGAAAAAACATCACAGAATACTTAAGAGGGGAAACTTGAATTGTGCTAGCTAATTTCCTCTATTGCTGTTCATGTTTTTGATCGAATGAGATTTAACCCTTTAACTCCCAGTTCAAATTTGTAATTCTCTTTACTGTCAACTGTACAATTCTTATAATGTTAGTTCTAAGAATTTAGCATTGGATCAACTAATTATCCCCAAATTTATATTTTTCTTTATTCTCATCACTTATCTGATTGATATTATATTGATATTGTTAGGAGAAATTCTTCCCTGGTCACTCATGGAAGTCAAAGGGTTAATCAGTTGTAGGGTTTGCCTGCAATGTGTCAAATTGCCAGTGTGGACTTCATTCTTCTCAGATGTCAGCTGGTAAAAGATAGATACTTAAAATAGCCGTCCATAAGAAAAAGTACACAACATTAAAAAAAATCACACTGAAGTGGTGGCATGATTGATTTGTGATATTTAGAATGAAGGAAGTAGGAAAAAACTTATTGAGCTTTTTCCTGTTCACCAGTAAGTTAATTGGATTTTGGATTCTACATTCAAACTGGGTGAGTTTAAATTTTTTCATATCATGCTTCATTAAGGTTTGTTTACCTGGAAAGGTAATTGTTATTATAGCTTCACAGATGTGTTTGCTGCAATCGCAATTAGCATTCATAACAAAGTTTCATTTAACATAGAATGTATCAAGAACTCTCTTTCTTTCTCTTCAATACCATTTACTATTCCTGGAGCACAATTAAAGGTAGTAGGTTATTAAAAAAATTATAACTTTTGACTCAGGTAATTATTTGAATATGTGAGTAACATTTGGTGTTTTCATATGTAACAGGATGATCAAGCTGACAATAGCCTCAAAAAGGATTGAACTCCACTGTAAGAATTAGGTGACTAGTTTGGAAGCTTGAGCACTTGGTAATTACACCTTGGCTTGCAATTCTGATTATTACAGTTTGCTGAGGTAATTGAAATGTTAGTTCCCAAGCAGGAACCTTCCACTTGACCTGTATAGTCATGTGCTTTGAGATAACTTTAGAAAAATGCATTTGTGTTGGCAAAACTATTGTAGATACAGTACCACCTAGAGACAAAAATAAGAGATTTCCTGTAGGCATGAACATTTGGAAGAAGTTATGGTGGTAAATGACCTTTCTTTTGCCAGGATGTATAGGGTCTGATGATTGTAATGTATATCTTTTAGCTTTCAAACTTTCAAATTTGTATTAGTTGTAGCTGTTTACCAAATCTATTCTCTGTACCTTAAGCCCTCAAAAGTTGAAGCAGGTGAGTCAATAACCTGACTTCCTTTGTTTGGAATTGTGTGATTATATAATTTCGCTGTGTAAGTTACCATACTGTAACATGTAATATTATTATTTAGATTGCATTTAATACACTAGCTCAAGCTTTCATTAATGCATGGTGTTTCTTACCAATGGTCCTGCCCAAACTGAACATCAAAATAAGTAATTGTTCACAAGATATGCAAGTTTAAAAGGGTGGGAATCTGGAAAAACAAGGATCCTCCTTTAATTAGGGCTGAAATTGATGGTGGCCCTCTTATTTTAATTCATGTTTTTAATTTGACCTGCCTCTTCCCCTGTAATGTTTAGGGCACATAGATGAAGAGAACATTTTTTTGTATTTTAATGCATGAAAGTTAAATTACCAGTAACTGGCATCCACATAGTCACACAAGACAAGAATGTAAAGCTTTAGCCTAGTAGGTTAAAAAATTAAAATATAAGAGTTTTGCAGACCATGTCTGACTTTTTATCCTGGCTCTGGATATTTATTCAAATAACATAGTCACTATCAGTCTCATTAACTCTCACTTTTCACTGAGCTTGTGGAAAGATGATAATATCATTATTTCTCCAAATGAAGAAAGGAAAGCCTGCCCTCTTACCATGGATAGTTCTGTTGGGCGTCATCAGTACAAATCTGGTATAATTTTTGCTTGAAGGTGATTGTTCCAGGGTAGGCTAACCTTAAAAATTAGTTGTGAAAATTTCTTGAACCTGTCGTTGTACGTCTTGAATGTTTGACTCAATTTTACCTCCCTAACCTAAACTGAATACATAGAAACATGAAATTTATTTGTTCTCCTTTTAAAGTGTGCATCAAAATTACAGTCATCGAAGGCTTAAACTATGTGTTTACAGGAAATCTGCATGTGCATGTGTTTTTTTCATTAATACACATTTCTTTTTCAAAGAATTTTGTCTATCCAGCCTGTGCTGAATTCTGATTTTTCAACTGAATTTTGTTCTTTTAATATTTTTAGATCTCCTAGTCTAGTTAATATTATTGTA